TAGCCTATACATCCTTAAATGGTTAACACACGCACTTAAGTTTATATTAAGAAAGGTTGGCTATATTTTCAGAAACATGTATAATTAAATATTTTTCGCTGAGTGTAATCTCGAAATAAATATTATTTTTACAAAAACTGTTTGCAAAAACCAATTTCAAGACTTTTTGAGAATTTCTCCAGAAGCTGTAAGTAAATTCTTTTTTCAGTATGTTTCTTGAACGAGGTACATATGTACATACATTGAGTTCGATTATGCAGATTTATCGATTGAAAGGAAACGATAAACGTTGGAATGAATGATCCATTGTTCTGGTCGCTGCACCGCGCCGACTGATCTATCGTTGACATTTCGAGTTCGGAGAACGTTGTCAGTCGCTTTATGTTTATCTCTGTTATCACAAACGAGCAATGCGCCGTTCGACAAAACTCGACAAATTCAATCTCGAACGCAGATCTTTCATATACGAGTAAATGCATTTTTACATAACAACGAACAGCTGTTGATTCGAGCTACTTCCTAATGAAACGAATATGAACGCTTATATGTATACATCTCAAAATTTTCTCATCTTTTTATATAAAGAATTACAAGTAAATACATTCAACAAAAATTAAACACTTGAAATTCTTCAAACATTCATTTAGTAAATGTTTATTTCCATGGAACAAATTAAACCACGCCGATGGTACTTGAACCATGTTTCTGAAAATAGAGCGGAACGGAAACGGTTCGGAAACCCTCTGGAACAGTATATATACACATCCGCACGTTTTCTTGGCGGAGAATGCACGCGAGGTCACGGGACTCGTGAACAATCCGCAGTCGAAGATCGTTCCTCCACGGAACTGTCGACGAATTTGAAAAACGCGGAGTCGAAAAGAGAAGTTGGCTCGACTAGAAATATACCCGGGCGAGAAGTCGCCAAGCTGATTTCGCGGGGAAGAACGAACGCGGAGGCTCGTATCCGTGATTGGAAAGGCACGAGACAAGAGAAACAGGTTTATATCCGCAGCGTGTGAAGGCGCGGAGCGAAGATAAACGAATCGAAGCGAAAGTGAGCCGAACGCCTCAGTTTCCAGCGAACTGTTCGATGGAACCGCGCGCGGTACTTAAATTCCATGAAGAGAACATTTTCTGCCGTTCGATGGCGTATAAAAAGATTTTTGAGCATCGCGAGTGGAGAGGATAATCGGTGATACACGATCGGGAAGCGTTGGCGGTGAGAGCGTGGTCGTTTCGTGGCTTGCACCTGCGATCTTGAATGGCACTGCGATACGAACAGGAATTCGAGTAGAGGGTCGAGTCGCGGTTCTGTTGGACGTTCTTTGAAAGCGAAACCGGTGATTGGAATCGAATCGAGTGGGTGCCCTGTGAAGCTTCCCGGAGTTAAGAACGCGACAGGTGCATCGGCTGTGAAATAAAAGGTTGCAGAAAATGCATGCACGAGGAACAGAAATCGTGGCGCGAAGTCTATATTGAGATAGGCGTTTTATCAAATATATGTGATTAATGCAAATATAAAAACGAGTCCGAAAGACATTTCTTTTATAAAATAAAATCAAGTATCTAATACGAAAGATCAATAATGAAGTAAAAAAGCATTTAATAAAAGATCTGATTCTGATCGGGACATCGTTATCGGTGACAGGCGCAGGTGAGAGAGAGGGACACGCGGGTAAAAGGCATTAAATTGCACCGATCGTTTGCGTACGACGTTCGAGGACTGATAAAACCGTTCAGCACGGCAGCGATGGAGGGGCGTTGGTATTCCAGCTCGCGATAGCGGATCGGTTCGCGAGTTGTTTTACACAAAACGTTTCTCGCGACCGGGGCCGAACGATTCGTTCTCGATCTACACGCGCTTCGTACGTTTAAACATTTATCAGTTGGCGAATAGAATTAACGCGAAGCATTCTCAAGCAATCGCCGTGAATTGCGATGATCGTGAGTGACAAGGATCGCGGGCAGAAAAATACAGGCATGCGTGAGTATCCTTGAACGATGGAGGTGAAAATCTTTCACTGAGAATCAGACATTCTTTATAGTCAATGAGATGAATTTTGTTCGAACTTGGTGACGATTATTTTTACGAGTCTTCCATCAAGATTGGCATTATTTTTCATGCGTGGATTTATAATGACGTCTTTTAGTATCAGACTGGAAATTATCTATGTAGATTAAAACGTGGTTCGTTTCATTTTGATTAAGTGTAGGTTATAATTTTATTTAAGAATATCCTTCATTTATTCACTATTTGGTTCTCTGTTAATGGTTCAGCAATTTATTCAAAACGTCATATTATTGTTCGAAGAAATAAGGTTTCAACACTGGAGGTTTTAAGATATGAATTTATTTATCTAAACAAGCATAATTGTTCCGGATTTTAAAGAGTTCGTGAATCATTTCCAGGCATAGCATGGAGCTTCCGGTTTCCATCGATGGGTACCCTGCAAAATCTAGGCGCCAGCGGCCGTCGTCGGAAAAGAAACGGCATACCCTCTTCAACCTCTTGTAAGGACCTCCATCAGAAGCGACACACGATCCACCTACAGCCGGAAGTAATTATTCAGAAGGAGCCATCTTTCATCGTGACGCCGCCGTCACCGGATGATCCGACCGAGCACTACAGAAGGTATCGTTGAGCTTACAAATTATACTAACCGCGGCCTAACCACTAACCCTCTACATAAGAAATTATTATTTCTTTATTCACATTCTTTATTAACATGAGTTAAATAGAAATTTCTTTCACTATACATATAACCATTGCGATATATGCAATCGATTTTTACTCATTAAAAATGAATTTCAATTCGCAAAGTATTATCTCCCATTTTTTATATCTAATATTGAGACCTTGGTCGTTCTTATCGATACACGCATAGTCGATCCGCGTATACGTGCCCGAAATATCTCAGGTTCAAGAAACTTTCGAACGAATAGTTAACTAGTTTCGCGATCCAGGTCGAAATTCTTGTCGCCGTAAATTATGAATTAGCCTCGCTGAGGATACTCGGCGAGGTACATATATACCGGTGCGAGGAGTAGCAGGTATAATGGAGCTGGTGCCGGTAGGTCTCCGAACCGGTTTCTTCGATCTTTGCCTTCAAAGTGACGTCCTCCCTTGGCCGTACGCGCGGCCGTCCCGTAACGGAAGAGAATAGCACAATAGGGGAAACTATAAAACATTCCTTAGCCGATACTCATCGGTTTCGTAATCCCTTTTCGAGTGTCCACTCGTCGACCGATCGTTGTCTCGCGCCGTGTCGAGATTTATCCGAACATCGATCGCCAAGACAAGAACGCTAACCGTAAATTCGTTCGTGTTTCCGCGAATCGAGGAAGCTAAACGCAGCGTGTAAATCGCGAGCGTGGTTAACCGAGTGTAAAGCACCGATTCGTTTCACAGGTGTGTCGACAGGAGAAATTGATACGTTAGGATAATGTCGATGATAATCTTAATTGATTTATATGACACAGTAGCAACTTTCCTATCAATTATACTTAAATATTAAAATTAGTTGCTCTTATCATAATGATTCTAACCATCTTTAATTCTGGGAAAGTTGCTCTTTTCTAATCACATTCTGTCCGGAAGAAAAGATATGACGCTAGAAATATTAGCGACCAAGAATTACTTTTTCATCACGGTAACAAGGATCGCTGATGATTTCAGCAATCAGCGGCTGTCAGACCTACCGCGAGTTGCACGAGGGCAGGATTATCGATAAAACCCGGTGCAGAGTGGCTCGGAGCGACACGTACGCGAGCGAATTCGCGAGATAACAGCGTGAAATTTTGTCGCGTCGACGTTTCAGAGCGGCGAGTCACGCAGAACTTCTGCGAACCGAGCCTCCTCTTGCATTTGCATTCACAGCTTCTATTTGTAAATGTCGCGGTGCAGCCAGCGGTGAAATGAAATTTTACACCGGTGCAAGAAATTAAGAGATAAGCTGAAGCCAGATGTTCCACGAGAATTATTAATTACATCGTAGAATATGTAAAAAATTAATACGAAAGTTGCATTTTGGAATTGATATTTTATTCTGGAACGTTGATGCATCGATTCTTATCACCGAGTTCGCGGAAGACTATCAAATATTTAATACGTATGTATGTGCATAGTGTGATACGAAATGCATTCCAAACAAAATTACTGTCGGTTGCAGGATTGAAGTGCTGAAGAAACAACTATAGTCGATTAGGCGAAAATATGGGAGCAGTATTTGCGTTCGAAAGGCTGTGCCCACATGTTACATCGCCTATAATTAAACGTCACGCTTGACGCTGACGCTTCTGGGGCAAAGCATTCGAGTAATAATAAAGTCTTTTTGTAAAAAAGCGGGATTAATGTATTACTACAGAAAATGGTTATTTACTAAAGAATACTAATTTTTATTTAAAAATGATTACTGCTACTCGTTGTATAGACATGGTGCGTAAAATTAAAAGACTGTGTCGATTATATTCGGACTGTTATTTATCACAAGTTTTCTAAACAACGCGCATTATTTTCCTTGTCGAACAAGAACCGAAACAAATGCACAGATGCGTTTTATTACACTTTATCGAACGTCCCTTTTCGACGCAGGCGCGGCAGCCCTTATATGCAACACCCTCTTCTCTCAAACAGATCAATAAACTTCCGCGTGTATCGAGTAGACTAGACCACGCGGCGAATTTCCAAGCCGAAATCTATCCAAAAAAATCGAGAAAATCTCTCGGGAGGCGAGCGGCCTCTCCGTCAATCGAACCGATGTCAACTCGCCGACGTTGAAAGCCCACTCGAGAAATGAAGAAAACGCCGGCTTGCGTGGGTGAGAACGAGACGAGACACCGACGGGCCCGCCATGCAGTGACGTATTTAGTACGTGTGAAATTCCGAATATAGACTCATTCAAATTCGAAAAGGGATGTGATTAGAAACATTAAAAAATAATAAAATTGACACAATCAGAATATAACGCGATCTGTCTACCGAATCGTACGAGAAGCTGTACGGAGTCTAAGGAAAATGAGCAACGAGTGAAATTGTAGCAATTTACCGGCTAAACGAGATTTCAACGTCTACGAGATGGGGAGAAGAGGGGGAATATTTTCCTTGGCGAGAGAGAGCAATAACCGTGGGTTCTATTAATATGTGCCGAGAGGGATCGACCCTTCTACGGTTCTCCAAATATACGGCCCTGTTCGCGTCCTGACTTTCCACGCACATAGTTCAGTGGGGTGCGCGCGCTCGGCCCGAGAGCCGTGTGGCCAAACCCTATCTGTTCTCACCGATTTCTTTCCGAGTTTCGAAACGAACGCGTTACGCGATCGCGTTCATCGAACAGTATCGTTTGACAACGTTTACGGAGGGAAAGGGCGGTGGGAATCGAGTCAGAAAGGGGTTGAAGAGAACGAACGGGGCGAGATGTAAGCGATCCGCGAGTGTAAACTCCGTTTTTTCGACGCAGGTCGTCGGAAGTAAAGGACGAGGAGGCGAAGGAGGACGAGGTGGTCGTAGTGAACAGGAGGGTGGACTGCGACGCGTGCGAATCCGCTGCCAAAAGGGTTGACAGCAACGACTACTCGAATCTGCCAATGGTAAGTGGACAGTTTGTTTCAAGAATTTTGTTAGAATTCTAGGAACGTGATTTGATGATAGTGGTTGAAAGTAGTGTCGAAGACCTTTGATTGGTCAAAGAATTGCACCGCCGCCGCAAAATATAATTTAAATTATTCATACATCTTTCTAACTGCAATAGAGAGGAATATTCTTTGTCTCATTTTGACATATCGCTTAATGTTCACCTTCGATGTATCATTTAACGTATATGTGTAAATATGTCAAATTTATTATATCGGTAATTGATACATGTATATTATTCGAAACGAATTTTACAGAAAAGTTTCTTTGATTCATAGCGAGACATCGAAGTAATGAAAATTGATTTTGACGGTGCGGTACGGCGTAATAATAGCTAATGGATTCATCAAAGGAATTTAATAATTGATTCGTTTATATTATCGTCTTGATGATCCAACTTTTAACACGTGACACGCCGAGCCGCTGATGAGTTTGTACACATGAACGACGACTTCGTTGATCCCTTTATAGACCGAGTACTTACTCAAGGCTGTACTTGTTAAGCCAATCTTGCGGTCGCTGCACAGTCGAGCCATTTCTTCATTGATTCATCCGAATGCCTTAGGCGAAAATTTGCTGAAAATGATGGTAGAATTCTTTTATGCTCATTGTATTATATCCTACAAAAATTATAATTAAAAAAGTGATATAACTGTGATTTAAAAAATTTATACCAATGATTTTTGCAAACATTTTTTAAACAAAATGGAAAATAACGCTTAGTTACTATTTACTTTTATATTGTAATATTTAATTCCCAGGGCGGTTTTAAAATTTTAATCTTTCAAGCTCGCGTAGTCGACCCAAAATATTTGGAATTACTGATTTGAAATTCGTATTCTCGTCTGTCTGCTCTAGGAGCCACCAGAAGAGTCAACACGCAAACTTCTCGAGCGGGAACTTCGACTTCTGGACCCCAGGGATTTAAGATCGCATGCTTGGTACCATGGTAGCACCCTCCGCGGTGGCAGAAAGGGTGCCGAGACGGAAGTACCAAACGACGGCGATTTCCTGGTGCGAGACTGTGCCTCCCAACCCGGAAACTACGTCCTCACGGTCCGATGGAAGGGACAGCCTCTCCATTTCGTTATCAACAGGGTAAATTTTGCTAAACCTCTCGATTTACTTACCAAGAAAATTATATTACGAAAGACAAGAGTGAAATAGTTCGTGAAAAAGATAGTACGAACTTTTACAGAATACAAGAAGCATCATATTTAAAATCTTTTTATTTACAGGTAGTAATACAACCAGAAACAGTATACGAAAGAGCCCAATACCAGTTCGAAGACGAGGCATTTGACACGGTAGCAGATCTGATAACGTTCTACGTGGGCAGCGGTCGACCGATAAGCCAGGCGAGCGGTGCGCGTATAATCACACCGAAACCACGCTGCGTTCCTTTGACTCACGTGCCGGCGAGCAACCAGCACTGCTCCAGTCCTTCGTCCTCGTCGTTGTCAACCGGCTCTCCTCCTCGTCTACCTCGGAAACAACAACGAAGCCACTCGCTGACTGCCCAGCATCCTCCCATAGATCAGCACGACGCTCGACAAACGTCTAATCAACAGACAACGACGCACGTGCCGGTTCAGTCGAGCACGTTGCCACGAGTCCCGCCTATTCAGAATCAGCCACCGTCGTGTTCCTTGTCCCTGGGACGTCAAAAGATCACCAGGGTGATCTCCGACCCCGCTTTACAACAACAGCAACAGTCGATTCTACCAGCGAGTTTGAATCATCAAAGTTCTCATGCCACGGCACCACCGAAACCACCGAGGGTACCGTATGCGGCTAATTACCAACAGCACGCTCATTATCATCATCATCATCATCACCATCACCATCATCATCCTCATCCCCATCCTCATCATCAAGGCTACCAGGCCAGCGGGAGTGACAGCGGGAACGGGTCCGGTGACAGCGAGTTCGAAACGAACAACTCTGGGGGTGCCAGTAACCCTTCCTCGTCTGTTCCCATAAAAGGAGTCGTGATCAGGAGTTACTATAACATCAGTAACGACGGCACTAATGGAAATAACGGCAACGAGTACGAACTATCCGCGGAGGAGCAGCTAGTAGTCGCCGCACCGTCTTTAGAGATCACAACGGCTTTGGACATCGAAGGATTCACTACTCTTTTATTGCCAGCCGGTGAACACAGGCCTCTGGATCCCACCGCTTTAAGAGGAGTCTCAGGAATGTTACACGACTCCGCTCCGAGAGTGTTGGCCTCGCACCTGACCAAAATCGACTTGGAATTAGCTCTACAGCCCGGTATCGGAAATAGAAACGGCCTCAGTGGTATAGAGTTAGCTACTCTACCACACGGAAGGCAAGCCAGGATGGATTTGATCGAGAGATCGGAATGCTTGAAGCTTCTCGTGGCGGTGACTGTACTGGCTGGAGCCACTGCTATTGAAAGAGCAGCTACGATCAGCAAGTGGATCAAGGTAGCCATCGACACCAAGACTGCCCTGGGCAATTTATACGGCTTCTGCGGCGTCATGCTCGGACTGTGCTTACCCCAGATACAAAGGTTGGCAAACACCTGGCATTTATTGAGGCAGAAACACACCGATGAAGCGTTCAGCTTCGAGGCGAAGCTCAGACCGACGCTCAGAGCTATGAACGAGTGCACGAACCCTCAGGCACCGAACACTACTCTTCCTCATCTATTACCCATCGCTCTGCTCGGGGAACGAGGGCCTGAAGATATTTTGGGTATGTTTTGACAAGTTATTTTCTAATAGTGATTAATTAAAATAGGCTTATTCTTCGGCGGCCTTGGAATGACGATGCATGTAGAATTTTCGAAACTGTATGTGGAATCCTGATGAGCAATTTAATTTTCGATTCACAGGAACGGCAGCACCGTCAGGGCTGACGGCAGCAGTTCTATCGCCCTGGGAGAATTCTGCGCCCGATTGTGGCCTCACGATCGTTTGGTCCCATTTGGAATCGGCTCGAAAAATGTCAGAGAATCTTCCTCTGTTCCGTAGGAACGCGGAAATCGTACTGGAGGGCTCGCGAAGCGACGAGCTATTATCTGACGCGTTCCGAACGGAGTTTCACATAAAATTCCTTTGGGGAAGTCGCGGTGCCACGGTTGCACCGGAGGAGAGGCATCTAAAGTTCACGCAGGTGTTGGACGCGATGTTCGACAAATGTTCGTCGAGCGAAGTGACGGCCTAAAGACGACCGGCGACCAAAGGAGAATATTTTATATTTTTAGATAGAACCTCGATTACTTTGGTAATCGCCGATTTTTTGAAGCAACTTTTCCTCGATACGCAAAGCAAAGTTGAAGTGAAGGGACCCGAACGTGCTGTTTCCTTTCGACAGACTTTAGTACTTTTTAAGTGTAAATTATCGTTGTGTAATTATGTAATTAAGTGACCCGTGTACATTGATTATAATTTCGTAAGGCGTTAGTATTTTATTTGATATGTTGATCGATTGTGATTGAATACACTTATTATTAATTGACCATACACGTTTCTTCGACAATTTGGACGAACATTTCTTCGCGACCGGACCGTTCCCCCGCAATTTCTCGCCGTTTTGAGAAATTCTTTTTCTAACGAGATCGCAGCTCGTAAGCGTGAACCGTGTAATGTGACTCCACCGTTGCGACGAACAATTACGCTATAAATGAAAACAACGAAATATTTACATCTCGTTACGCGTAACACACGTTACGCACATACGTATTTATATATACAGAATACTTGGTCGCGATGGTCGAATCGTATCTGTGAGGGACAAAAAATCAAAAGCAAATAGCATTAACGTGATTTGTATCGCAGATGTATTTAGCGCAATAACAATTCCTGAAAAGTAATTAACGATCCTTGAGACGGAGGAACCTCATTTAATATTTCGGGAGAAGAAGAAGTGAGTGACGGTATGATAATCAAATCAAGTTGAACGTGTCGTGTACTTAAGCTCTAACCGATCCTATTATTATTCGGCCGATTATACATACATTGTAAATGTTGTTCACGTTTGTTCACATTTAATAATATATACAGAGAATGAAAAGATTTATGTTTTAATTGTCCAATCAACCATAACGTTCTCAATTATTTTAATCCGACCGTAAGTCAGTTGATAGCTATGAACTTTCGTCATTAAATGGCAAAGCGATATAAAAAAATGCTGTTTTCTTAATGATGATCACATCAATGGCAAACAAATCTTTCCCACTGATCCCTACAGCTCTAATGACTTCGCATTATATGTGTTAACAAGAATAAAACGATATCATGAATATGTTATTTGAGAATAATCTTAACGAAGATAAATTTATTCTAAGAAAAACATTTTTAATGATGAAAAATTTATTAAAATGACAGGAGTAATACATAATAATAATGTTAACATACTTAGTTCTGCGATAAACGATACAACATTTTTCAAGAGTACTAATTACCGGTAATTCAAATTAAATATCGACACATGTTCGAAGACTTAAAGCGTATGGTTACATAATAGTAAGCTAATCATGTATACGTAATTTGTAAGATAATAGATAATGACCATGTCTATACGTTAGTTCGCGGTCATATAATTTGGACATGCAGTTCGGGTCACATGCGTCAATCGCACCTCGTGTTTCATCATTCGTCTCATCTCTTCTCCCACTCGCTCCTCGTTCTATAGTCTGTCTTATTTCCACCAACGGAACTTCCCTCTTCGACGCGCTGCTCCCGTCTCGTTCTAAAAGCAGAGGTACACGTCCGACCACCCGACCGACACCGAAGTCGATAGCCGGCAGTTCAGTTCCGGACAAGGTCCCGCACGGTCTGTGTGTAGTGCATACTGATACATACAATTCGATCTTTCCAAATTCGTCAATGTCTGTCGTCAATTCAAATCGCAATAATTCCCATGATACGTTCAGAAAAATCGTATCCATCAGTAGAATTGAAGAGAATCGTGACACGCCCTACAGCCGTCGAACTTCGCGCACATCGTTTGCTGTACGAAGAAAGTTTCGATCGACCAAGATCCCGCTGAACATCCGGAACTGATCACGCAGGTAATTAGGCAACAAAGAAAAGAGATCAACATATGTTATAAGTTCGACCGTTCTGCTCAGTATAAATGAAATTTTACCTGCGTACAATTGGAAAATGGCACGTGGAATATCGACAAATCGCCAATTGGAGTACAAAACGGGAACTTGGCACGTGATCGAACAAATTGTTCGTGTGAGGAGTGAATAGGATAATAATCTCGCTCGCAAAATCCCCGATGTGAAAGTGGGAGAAAACGGTTTGCAATGTCAGTAGTGGGAGTCGGAGCTTTTTGATAGTCGAGCTTTTAAAATACAGCGCTCCGTTCGGGATAAGGCCATAATCGAGCCACGTGCCACGCGTTTCTCGAATTGATAATATTACATGTGCGATTTGACGCTCAGCAACGGCTGTTTGAATAGATAAAAGAAAAAGAGAGACTTCATGTCCTATCGGCTACAAGCTAATTTTTTCTCGTTATCTGTTCATTCCTCATCGGCGATAAAGACAGGCCACTTACATATGAGCGTCAGAAATTGTTTGCATCGGTCAACTTCAGCGGAAATACCAGTTAAATACGTCAATCAATACGTCAAGTTGACAGAATACCTGTTTAAATGACTGCTAAATATTTTAAAACACGAGTGGCGATGGAAGAATAAGTGAAAAACCACAGGAAGAGCATACAGTTTTTTTTACATGATTCGTCTCCGGATAAAAATGGAATAGTTGCCAAAGATAAGTAAAGTTAGATCGGATATGTACGTATAATCTGTGTCAAGGAGTAGTTAATCATCGGACACGAGGAACGAGCGATAGCCACACGGCCGCTTTTCTTTTCACGGCTGACTAAAATGGAAGCTAGGAACAATAACGACAACGACAATGCTCTCTGGGTGTTCGGGTACGGATCCTTGTGCTGGCATCCAGGATTCGAATACAGAAAAAGCGCCCTGGGATACGTCAAGGGTTTTAGCAGAAAATTTTGGCAAGGGAACACGACTCATCGGGGCACACCGGAAAAGGTAAACAGCTAATTCTGAACACCTCTGTCCTTCTTTCACCATAAATTCAAAGAAGTAGGGGAGAGCGGAGTAATTCTGGCTATTTTTATCTCTTAAGTTTAAAAAAAACTCATAACTCGACAGCATCTGGTATTATCAAAAATGTAACTATTTAAAATTCATCGTTTTTTTAAAAACTTCAGTATTTCTCTCATTCTATATCCATGAATGCTCATTCTGCAACAGGTGCTTATCAGAGTGTTCGATTTTTAAGAAGCATAAATCAATATTTGCGATATACTATTAAATATTAATATCATTAAATAGAGAAACGTTTCAACTTTTCACGTTTGATTTTTGATAATAAAAAAATTCAATTCGGTACATTGTTAAATATAATATTAAAGAATTACAGACAAAAGCAGAATGGAACCAAAAAGTTTGTTACAGGCTACGATTAATTTTGTTACAATGTTTTATCCTTCCTACGCTGGTAAAACTAGACAGACTAGACACTGGAAAAGAGTAACGAGTGTGAAATATTAACAAACTTGGTTTAATATTATGATTACGTAGGCGGAATTACCCGGCACTGTGTTACGAACAGTTTGTTAATTATTATTCTTTGTTTCGCCTTATGAAACTGGTAAACATATCATGGAAATATGAAGGCCACAATACGAGCATTGTTTTCAATGTATTAAAAAAGCATTATGAATCTCGAAGAGTCGTAAAAAAGAGAACATTTCGTAATTGTTGCCAACACGCGCAGTAGCGTTGCAACGTTTCGAAACATTTTATTATTTGTACTAGAATAGAAGATAATCTATAAGCAGAAGACGATATAGGTAAATTTTTGTCAGTATTTGTGAATCAGCTGCCATTAAACGTGCACAAGATCAAGTTGATTTTTCTCAAGATGCGCAGATGACTAGTTTATTTATAATCGTGAAATTTTCTTGTTCACGAATTCGCCACGTGAATTCCTTCACAAAGCTCTGGCATCTTTCCATCCTGAATACACAAAGGTCCATTGACGGGTTCTGTTTAAAGAACAAAAACGATATAACTGTTAGAGTAAACGACCACGCATATTTCTTAAGTGATCGGTAAGGGAGCGTCGCGCTTGCTCAAAGTACGGATGCTTCTATTAAGACCAATGAAAATTGGGTACAATTTCGTCTGATGATCCGTTCTGATTTCCCTAATTGATACTATAGAACGTTTCTGCGATGACATTCATCACGTTCGACTACCTTTACCTAAGTAATTACTATGTCGCGTTGTACGTACTTTTACAACATTGCCTAGACGAGTTTCATCAAACAAGATTTTCTCTTGGTCTCGTATTACAACTTGTCGATTAACGTGAAACCAGTTACAGCTCGTCGAAACTGATATCTTTGGAACTTACAACACATAATTTTCTTCTCTGTGTCCGCGTCTCGTATTTACATTACATCGCTCGCGCGTGTTGAGACTTTTATGTATTGTTTCCTCCATTATTCTATCAATGAATCATGAGCATTTATTTATTAATTCCTTATTGGTATTTGTTTCAGCCGGGGCGTGTGGCAACGTTAGTCGAGGAAAGAGAGGTAACTAATAATTTTTTTTCTTTCGTTTCGCGATCTATCAATTTCGAACGGATTTCTATCGATTCTCGTATAATCGGAAAACTATTTAAATTACATCGTTACTTGTCATGCTGTACATACGTCGAATGATTTCTTATCACGATTGAAATGTGTTCGCACGTATTTTCTTTGTTCACAGAGCATTGTTTACGGGCGTGCGTTCCAAGTCCAAGACAGCACAGCGTTGCCTTACTTGGAAAGACGGGAGGGCACTTTGGGAGGATATACAACGACAATTAGCACGTTCTATAGCCGTGAGGGTGTCAGAAACTTCCCAGTTATCATTTACATCGCCACCAATAAAAGTGAGCACTGGCTCGGGGATGCACCGCTTCACAGCATAGCGATGCAAATCGCCGAATCCTCGGGCCCGAGCGGACACAACGTCGAATACCTTTTACGGTTCGTACCATGGCAGATAATAAAAACGATCGTTTACTCGAATTAAATCGTCGAGCTATTTTCGTACCCGTTAACACGTATGTGTATGTAACTTTCGTGTATGTGTATTTTGCAGTTTAGCAGAGTTTATGCATCGTTATTTACCGGAGGCTCACGATGAACATTTGTTCACTCTGGAACTGTTAGTACGCTCGAGGATAAAAGAAGAGAACATGTGTCTGAACACGTTAATGGGTAACCGGGAATTTCACATCGATCTCGAGGACACGGGGATCGATGTCAGGGATGAAGAGAACAATTTGGCCGGGAATAACGCTGGCAACAATCTCAGAGAAAACTCCTTCCAATATATTCTACAAGTACCTGACACAACTTTGCGCTGCCTCAAAAAATGATTCATTGATGAACAAGCGGTTCAATCACGCTCGCGCACAAGTCTGAGAGGCAAGCGATGAAACGTTATTTAATAAAAAGAAACAACATTTTCACTCGATAGCTATTTATGTACATCGAATAATTAGTATTATCCGGGAGCAGTGAACTGAAACTTTTTGCTCCCGGCAGATCTGACGGTGGTACGAAGGTATTTTAAATTAGTGTCGTGCCTTCTCGGCAACTTGTTATTAGTGCCACGTTCGAACGTTGCGCCTTTGTTTTTCAACGTGCTGGACACATACTTAGGGTAGATAATTTTTATTCAACGGTCCTGTACCTTGATATAAATTTTTTAAGAGCTCGACGATTAAGCATAATGCTTGTTCCTACCATTTTTTAAATTATAAATCGAACGTTTTATAATGCGTGTGAACTCACGAAAACGATGATGTTCGAATATAACGTCGTATACGCGTGATGAATAAATGAATTTTCTTAAACATCCAAGCGTTCTCATTCCATTGTTTAAAGTAATTTTCGTTCTATTCGAAAAACAGGCTGATTCGTTTACAAGAGATGTAAAACGAGGTGTCTGTGCCTGTAATATCAGTGTGGGATATACACACACACTGTGCTTTACCTCCATCGAAACAGTAGAAATCGCTTATCGTTCGATGATTCAACATCGACGATCAATAATCAAGGAAATACAGTTAACGTTCGTTCAATTGCAGGAAACTTCCCAGTTTCTGCTATGATAAATAAGAGGAGTAATCAATTTAGATAACAAAAATGCAGTGATATGAGGTGTGCT